GCAAACAAACCGAGCTTTTGGAACCTTGTTCTCCTCATTACGTCACTCGAGGTTCATCAATCACCTAGTAGAAGGTCAACAGCCGAAAAAAGGGGGATGACTGGTCTTCACTTCCCCGGTGGAAGTCGACCTCGTGCGGCAGAAGGTGGACGTCCCGTCACCTCCAGTCACTTTCAGGCACCTCCGGTCACCTTCAGTCACCTCCAGTCATCTCGTGTAAGCCCGTGCATAGGGGAGCGAATCAAAAGCACAGTTTCGGGAATTCCATCCTTCCCAGGCGGCCACTCGAGGTGACTGGAGGTGACGGAGGTGACGATAGGTGACGGGAGGTGACGGGAGGTGACTGGAGGTAACGGGATGTCCAATGTCTAATGGAGATGTTGCATGTGTGAGGAATTTACGATTTGACTGCTGATTCTTACGTGAAAGTTCGCGAGGAACACGATGTGGCCACTGGTTTTCTCTGAAATTAACTCTCAAGCTCAAAAAAAGCTCTGAAGTTGAGGCCAAAATGGAGGGGATATCCCACGCTATCCTGAGAGTCCACCTCTACATCAAAACAAACTCTGCATGCAAAGATAGGGAGCAAATACATTGACAGGGCTGCCACTTTATTTGGGGACTCCGAAACTGAAAACACGGCATCACTGCTAATGTATTTGCTCCCTATCTTTGCATGGAGAGTTTGTCTTGATGTAGAGATGAACTCTCAGGATAGCGTGGGATATCTCCTCCATTTTGGCTTCAACTTGAGAGCTTTTTTTTCAGCTTGGGAGTTGATTTCAGAGAAAACCAGTGGCACCATCGTGTCTCTCGCGAACTTTTACATAAGAACTATTTGTCAAATCGCAAATTCCTCACACATATCGACGGTATAAGTCGGCAATCACATAACTCGGTTTGCGACGTAGCAGACTTCCTGTCCTACTTTATTTTTTAAATGGAAAACTACTCAACGGCAATTCTTTAAAACTGTCATGATTTTTCTTCTCGATGCGAAGAAAATTCTGCAAAAACTTCAAGAAATAATGTCAATTTGTTCTCCTTTAAAAAAATAACGTAGAGGCGGAGATTTTCAGACACCGCAAACGAGTTATGTGATTGCCGACTTTCACCGTCGATATGCAACATCTCCATTGTCTCTGATCTTAAAGGAGTGAGGACTTACATCGCAGAGCTTGAAAGAGACCCTCTTGGTTGGCTGAAGGGGGTCACTGATGTTGGGTTCGACCTCATCGATGGCCTCACCGAGGTTCATGGCAGACGCCCACTCCAAGGCCTCGCTCGTGGCCGAACGGATGCAATCCACGCGACCCAAAGCGAAGCGCCGGGTCGAGGCACTCTCGTAAGTCGCCACTAGTCGCCCGTGCAACCTGCCATTCAAATCAAACACGCTTTCGTCATTATAATAATTCGCCGAGGAAATGAAGTCGTGTAGAAGTTATGTGATTATAACTATTTTCAGAGCGTAGAGAAAAAAAAGTTGTGTGCATCTTGCATCTCGAGGATTGTTTGCCCCTTGATGTAGGTCGGTACAACATGGCGTCGGTCGATATTCCAGAAAACTCCGGCATTCGAAGCATGAAAAACGGACCATAACGTTCAATTTTATTGCTTAAAGTAATTCATGATCTACTTTTAATCGCTTTATATGAAATGACTTTTTCCCATAAACTACACCATTTCCAAGAAAATCAATAATAAAAATCGTCATCCTACCGACCTACGTCATCCAAAAAATCCGAAAACTAGGGTGCCAATTTCAGAAAACTTTCGTCGTGTTTTTCCTTCTCAGTGCGAAAATTTCAAGAAATTAAAAAAATCCGAGAACTAGGATGCCGTCCGTGCACTGGAAAAAACCACATTGGATCTAGAGTCCAGACTCTTGAAAACATCGACAAGAAAAAATACTCTTGTTTCAATCGGATTTTTGCTTAAATCAAGAACCAAGCCTCTTAATTTGAGCGGATTTCCTTTTGATTTAAGCAAAAATCTGATTGAATCAAGAGTACTTTTTCTTTTCAATGTTTTCAAGAGTCTGGACTCTCGATCCAATTCGTTTCTTTCCAGTGTGCGCACTCAACGTCAATTTTAGACAAACGTCGTATTTTTTCGTCGTGCGAAAAAAAGCTTTATGAAAATTTCAAGAAATTATACTGATTTGTTTGCCTTCAAGAAAATAAATGGAAGCGGAGATTTTTAACACCGCAAACGAGATGCGTCGGATGGTAGTCTCACCGTCAAATTTTATCACGCATCAGCATAATAAAAAAATCTGGATCATCTTTCCAAAATCTGAATGGATGGTCCAACTTAAGTGGCTCAGCTTAAAATTGGTCCCTTTTTGAAAGTCGGTAGTCATTTTTTATGAGTGTCTTATTCAAAAACATACATCATCTTTCATCGTTCATGTATTAGGGCATTCTGGTAGCTTCGGTTTATTCTTTACCACCTTAATGACTTCTGTCTCATAAATTCGAGAGATTGATTCGTTATGTAGCTGCTTCATTCCACGGACACTGCAATTATTTCTATGAGAAAATACACATACCTGTGATAAGTCATTTGTAATGCTAGCTGAACGTAAACATCGGGACTGACGCTGTTCTGCTTTATGAAGTTTTTACCATATCCATCAAACCGCATCACACAGAAATCCAAATCCTCGACAACCCTGCAAATATATCAGTCCTTTAGTTTTTAGGTCGCGTACTTAATTAAAATTACCGTCCGCCAATTCAATCAGCCATGAAAATCTTCAAGGATATTTTCAAATATTTCTATCTGTATTTTTTCATATTTTTTCTATTGTTTCTTTCACTTTTTAAAATTCAACTGTTTTAAAATATTGATCCATTGACCCTGCTCTGGTCACTGATGAAACTTCATCTTTCCCTTATTCGCAACATTCTGCGGAAACGGATTCCATCGGACAATACTAAGGGGTCAAAACCTGGGTGCATCATACTGTCACGCCAGGGAAAAATACCTCATGATCGTTTGGACGTGGCCAAGTCGCCTTAGATAAAAGACGAATTTGCAGGAAAATAAAGAATTCTATTCGTAATTTATAATGTAAATTATTTAAAACAATTCATAGCTTTTTTTCAAAAATAACTATTTTGTCCGGGGAAATCTGACAAAATTCGAAATTTTATAAGGTATTATTCTGTAGGACGATAGCATATTGTGCTCACGCTTTTCTTATAATACTAGAGGTGACACCNNAACCGCTTTGATATCCAACTCCCCGATGAGGTTCGCACCTCAAGCGTCATGCGTCACGTGATACTCTCATTATTTTATAGTATAGAGAAACTTATATTTGAATCCTCATCGAAGAAAGACAGGAGTGTAGCAGAAGGTCAAAAAAGGAGACAGCTTGTTTCATCTATCGCTCGCGCGAATTCTTCACCCAAGTCCTTATAGAACTATACCACGGAGGCTGAAAGTGGCGACGTGAATTATTGACTATTGATACGTTCTCATCAGGGTGGCATTCTTCATTGAACGTGGCATTGAAAGAAATGAAAGATTGGAAATTTCAGTGAAACGGTTCATGAAATTTCACGAGGCTGTGAAATATTTCATATTTTTCAGGGGTTAGAGTATATGTAACCCACACTCAAAAACACACAAATAGAAATTCACGATTTTTACATTTTTCGAACATGAAAAGGAACCGGTGCTTTTCAAACTTTTTCATACATTTCTGAAATTTCATGAAATATTTCACGTAAAATTTCAAGATTTGATTTGTCATGAAATTTTGCCACCCTAGTTCTTTTTCAAAGCTGCGGTAAATAATCGATTATTAAGGTGTTCGTTGCAAACACCCTGATAATCGATCCTTTTACATAGGTTTAAATGACAGATGAATCAATTCATCGGAAAACACGACACGCTACTGGAATCTAGTAACCGGATGCTGATCTTTCTGCAATATGAAAAAAAAAAGTAATCTTGAGATTGAGGTCCTCATTTTCTCCTCTGACATTAACCGATTAAAATTTTCCGTATGAGTTCAGCTTACCCCTGGAATATTCTAGAGGCCTCGATGACGTGTTTCTCTATCTCGCTATCGACGACCCAGTTGAGTTTCTCTCGTTGAGCGCTGTGCTGTTTGGGCACGGGACTGCAATTGACCTCAACCGAACGACTCTTCTCTAGGATGTCCTCTACGACCTGAAGCAGTGACACGGCCTCTGAAGGGGAGTGCTCGTAGCACAAACCGCACACCCCATCCATTCCCACAACGACCTGCGAAAAACAGGAATACCGTAGGCATTCATATTCTCATTGTCTGAGTAAAAAATCCTGCAAAATTTCATCAATCAAACCTTGATGTAATCTAAGTGAAAATTTGTCAACAAATAAATTATTAATTTGACAAAGATCATAAGTCCACCAGATTCATTAATTTGTCAATCTCATGATGCGCTTGATTCATTTTAATGTATTTCCTTGCTAAGTACCTGTTTTCTTGCCACAATTAGACCAAATTTTGCAATAAGGACCTAAAATTTCTGATTCTTCTAAAAACACACCAATCTAATTTGGGAAACAAATGACACTTACATAGTTTCTGAAATGAGCCGGAAATTGTAGTTCCTTTTTCAAAATGTGGTTCAATTATTGCAGGTAGTTCAAAAAATGACTATTGCTCTAAGACAGTAAAGCGGAGTACATTCGGATGTCTTTCTGCCAAACGAAACTATGTGCATTATGACGTGAGCCCTGTCATGCATATATTCTTATGGGTCTTAGGACTCATGTCTTAGTGCACATAGTTCTGTTTGGCAGAAATACATCCATTTGAAAGTAGTCTCCTAATTTTCCACACCCAGCACGGGTCAAAAGACCGACTTGTACGCCATTAAGAAAAGTTAAAAGAACATATTATTATGTCATCAACCAAAATACCAACTACAAAACTTCCTCGGATTGCGTAAAAAGACCGCTCGTTTCCGTTCAGAACGTAACAACATTTCTGTCACATTTTATTTGCAGATACCTAAAAGGAAAATGGTGGTTTTGATGACTGAAATTTGAATAACATTCAATAGAAAAACATGGGATTGATTGTTCTGAGTCGAGAAGGGGAAGAGAAAAACATAATTGAAATTTTGAAACATCACGATTAAAACAATAACGCCGGTATTTTCACCGTCTACATATCGACAGTGAAACTACCAAACCACGTATCTCGTTTGCGGTGTTTAAAAATCTACGCTCGCATTTTATTTTTTTGAAGTAGACCAAATCAATATCATTCCTTGAAATTTTCACAGAATTTTCTCCGCACGAAGAGGAAAAATCACAGAAATTTTCAAGACTGGACGTCAAGTGGTTTTTAATTTAAAAAATAAAGTATGACAGGAAGTCTGCGACGTCGCAAACCGAGATACGTGGTTTGGTAGTTTCACCGTCGATATACCACATTACACAAAATCATATGCCTTGACATAACGACTGCTCTCATGAATGCAGGAAATTAGGATACAACTATTCGAGCTTCAATGAATGCGGGTGGTCTACCCGATGAAATGCGGGCGTTTTGAAAGTCTAACGTGTCCCCCATAAAATTATGCTGCTACCGCGCCGCACGCGTGAAGTTGTGCTCATCTCATCGCATCGTTGTCCCGAGAAATTGATTGATGATGATGACGTCTTTGAGCGACCGTCGGTTTACAGACAGTTTACATCGAATTTCTAAAAGTGTGAAATTGAATGAGAAGAAAAAACAATGAATATTTGTTAACTGCACAATTCTCTTTCGTCATGTGATTATTAGGACTGCGTTTCAACTTACAACTTGCAAATTTAATTTTTTCGAGGAGGCTCTAATTTTGGCGAACCTGAATGGTTTTGTCGAACCAGCGGTTTCCAGAATTAGTCTCGAATCCTCCTCCGTGGAGCATTTGGTGCATCATGTTCGTTTCGTCTCTGTTGCCCGCTTTGTACTTGCTTCTGCTTATGTTCGATCTGCTGTTGAACTGATCGCCCAGCACCTCCATGTCAAAACATACTATCATCACACATTCCTCGATCAGATTTAAATTCTCTTCGTTGTCTGCACCTGAAATAGAGAATTTCAATGTCACTTTACATTGAATCCTAGGGCTCTTTGTGGCCCTTGACCGTGATAAGAAGAAAAAGCGCTTAGCCATTTGAAAGATCGGAATCTTGTATTTTATATATACATGTAAATTGTGTATCTTTATAATTTTCGATGCATGAGAGTCACAGACAACTTTCAATACATGTATATGCAAATCATCCCCTTTAAAACCAAATAATGGTGTTATTGGTGAAACTACCTTTCAAAAGTACCTTTCAAAAACTACCATAAAAATCGCTCCCTGCTCTGAAAAGAAAATATGGTAGATTCTACCATACTCTGACACAGTGATTCAAGTATGGTAATTAACACTAGACTCAATCGTAATATTTACCATATTATGGTGAGTATTACCAGAGTTCTGATGAATAATTCTGTAATTCTGATTTTTTTTCACTAAATAGTATAAATGTGTAAAACATCAAGTAGACTTATAGTATATGTTACCATACTTATTTTTTAGTGTGGTATAGAGAGCCAACTTTTCAAAACTAGCTGTCTCGTATTAAACATCAGGTTTTCAAAAACACTTCCATATTTTAAATAAACAATATCTTATTTTTATGTACAACTTTTATATCTTTTTTGGGTTGACTTCCCGACTTTTCATTGAGTGGTTTGTTTTCCTCGTGAATTTTGAAGAGAAAGCATTTTGCGTATTGCTTTAATGTATAGTTTGTCAAGAGGTCTGTTGATGAGCCTCGCAGCGTGAGAAAGATGTGAATCTTTGGAATTAATTTACCTTTACTGAGCAAAATTTCTCTGCTTTCCGCCCAAATATTTCTCCTCTGCGATGTTAGAATTCCGACTGGCAGTTGGGGCTCCAAGTTTTCACACTCTTGTAGAATTCCATGAAACTCATCCGCTAGTTCGTTCTCGTTTAAAAATTCTCCGTCGGTCAATTTCTTCAATCGCACACGATACATCTGAGGAACACAAGTCAAAATTATTTAAGTTCTCCCTAATTTTATTTTCGGAGATAATGGATCGTATTCGATACATCAAACAGCTGAGATGGTATCGATATCGATTGGTTCATCATGTAAACAATGCCTCAAAACTCAACTGAGTAATCTCTTAGGGAACGGGTTTATTGTAATAGACGTTCGATTCTTAAGAGTACAAAGTGGCAATGAAAAGTGAAATTGTCGGGAATATTCTAATTTTCAGCTTTTTCAACTTTATTCCTAAAATTTTTGTTTGATGTTATGTTCTATTGTTTTGAACCAATCGATACATCGAACCACTATCGAAAACGATCTCTTGTACTTAACTTCTTACGCCCATGACAATGCATAGGAAGCGTGCTTTCTAACTGCCAGAATGCGGGGGTGCAGTTCAAACGCGCGTATATTCCTGTTGATAGATTTATCATTCCGATCAAAAATCGTCAAATCTGGGATTTGTCTGCTTTTAACTTTAAAATTTTAGATTCCAATAATGTTGTGAAACTAACCAATGATCCCTTCATTCGCACAAAAATGGAAAAAAAAAAAAAAAAATTATGGCTGAAAACACATATTGTGCTGATATGGACAAAAGTTTCCTCACATCTTCGATCTTTAATGGCCCTTAACTTTTCTGAATATTAAAATGCGTTGTCGGAAGCAAAGCTCAGAATCGTTTTAACCCAATTTTTAGAGAAACGAGAGAAAGAAGATAATGAATGATTTTCATCTTGGCTTTGATTTCTATGTTAGGAAAATGGACTTCATTTTGTAATTTGGAACTACAATTCCTGGCTCGTCTGTAAAAACGCTTATGCGCATAGGGAAACTAATGCTACATACGCTGTTTCTAAACTGAGCCAGAAATGTGGTTCCTAATTTCGAAGTACAGTCCAATTGAAGTATTAACATTCTGAAAGAGCTACAATAAAATCAACCTGATTTTTGCAAATGACGATGACATGAGGATCATCCTTGTACAGAGGAGAGTTCTCAGTTGAAATAAGTCGGTCACATTGGAGTCCCGGCCGTCGATAAGATGTTAAGAGCCTGTAGTACTGCGCCATGCATAGTGGTTGTCCTTTTTCACGCGATGTTGCCCTCTCGATCGGTAATGCTCGCCTGAGAACATGAAATCAGAAAATAACACTCTCGAGCGTTATGCTATGAGAACTTTAGGATCGCACTTGGCAGAGAGGAACCTGTTCGATTTCAGTATTATCAAAATTGTGCAACTTCTCCTTTGCTTTTAAAAAACTAACATGTATAGTAATACAATTCGCTTGACCGTTTTCCTTTGAAATCAACAATGTTTCATCAAAAAAAAAAAAAATCTTGTTCCAGCTCCAGGCATATTTCTTATATAAAGAAGAAGATGAACCAATATTATAGAAATGTAATCGCGTTGGTTACATTCTATTGAATTGATTCCATTTCTGAAATGTGACTCGCTCAATTTCAAATAACGGTTTTCTTTTAAAAACGGTCATTAAGAATTAGAGTGAGCTGAACTAAAATTGGACTAAATATTGCGATATGGAGCTATTACCCCTGGCTAAACTACATAGAGAAAATACAAGTGGAAGAGGAGAAGAAAGAACAGGAAAAAGAAGAAGAAAAAGAGGAAGAAGAAGGAGAAAAAATATAAGAATAATGAAAATAAGAAAAAGAAGAGGAAAAGACAGTACGACAAGGATGGAGGAGGTCAAGGATTGAAAGAGAGAGGGGTTGATGAGAAAGATGATGAAGAAAAGAAGAAGGAGAAGGAGAAAAGTGTGAAGAGGCATCTGTCTGCATAGGAGCATTAATAGCACATAAGTTGTTTCCAAAGTCAGACTAAAATATCAGTTCCTCATTTCAAAATATAGCCCAATTTATCATCATTCACATTTTCTAACCACGATTCTGGGTAAAATAAAAATGGTTACCTGTCTAAAATAGCCTTATGTTTCAGCATTTGTCCAACAAATGTAGCTGCGTAGTTAGCCATATCGCTCAACTGCGAAAAATATTCCGGAGGGAAAACCATCCCTGGGTTGGAGTTGACCGGCAGACATATCTGATTGTTCAAATACATATCATGCAACCACCAATCATAAGCCTGAAAGTTAAAAGAGACCAATGTTAGTTGTCTGTGAATCGTACTTTTCAAAGATAATTTCCGTAAAAACACCTACCTGTATAGAGAAACTAATGGTGCGTACATTGTTTCTAAAATGAAACACAGGCAGAGGAAAGCATCATTTCAATGTTGTACAATTGAAATTTTTAGAGGTTGCCAAAATAAAAAACTTCATATTGCTAACAAAAAAAGGAAATAAATAAATAAAAAAACTAGCAAAATTTGAAATTTCAACATTTTCAAAAACCGTTTATATCGGAGGCTATTATCTACAAAAAAACAAAAAACCGTTTAAATATCCTGAACGGTTCCTGAGAAAAAGGAACATGAAGTGACGAAGATTTACATGCTTTAGCGTAAGACAAGGGTTCCCCTAAAAGCCCCCTTCTTATAAATAGACCAAGCAGTGGCGTGGCGTGAATTGCGATATATCGATTGTTATGCCATTTAAACCTATGGAAAAGGATCGATAAACAGGGTATTCGCAGCGAACACCTTAATAATCGATCCTTTTCCATAGGTCTAAACGGCATAACAATCGACATATCGCAATTTTCGCCACGCCACTAAGACCAAGCACGAGCCAGCACCGTGGCAACGAAGTGCGGCTGACGTCATTACGGACTAGTGCCGGAACAAAAGATGCCAGTTAATTATCCCGCCAGTGAAGCATTCTCCCATGACAAAATCGAGTCGTGTAACTTTCTTGACTTTTTTCCAAAGTCTGCTGCCAGCTCTCCGTTTTCCTCCTAACCCATCCCTCAGGAACTCAAAAGAGACAGCCATTCGATAGATAATCCGTGCTAAGGTGCATACCACTCCCTCCATTTTCGATGAATTTTTCCTGAACGGGTTCAAGTCAGGTCGCTTGCCCGGCATTTCCTTAACAATCCACGTTCAACCCCCTAAAGAGCTAAATATATACGAAATCGTTCGACGGATATTTCTTATTCATTAGAGCGTGTGGAAATATATCGAAGTGTGCGATTCGACTATCGAAGTTCGATTTTTCACCGCGTGTATTTATAACGATGACGTGCGGGGGTATCGATTCGGCGGTGTCGCGCGGGTTGCCTACACGACTGGGCGCGGTGGGGGCGTCTGAGCTTTGCTCATAAACGCCATTTTCCCGGCGCGCCAGGCGCCGCCTCTCATTGGCCGCCCGAAGCACACCACCCACTTTCTCCTCTTTCTCTGGGAATGCCGCGCAACTCTCTCCCGTTTCCTTCCGCCTCGCCGAGCTGCTACGCCCGGCCCCTTGGCTCGCCGACGGAGCAGCTTTCACACCTCCGCCGCACAGTGAAACGAGAGAATTCGGACGTGGAATTTTCGACCAGAATTGCAGATTTTGATGTTTATCTCGTCATGTATTAAATTTTAGGTGGTATTTAATATTTAATACTTGAAGGTATTAGTAGAAAAAAAAATAATTTCTTCTTTTTGAATTGATGAAGCCTCATTAGGCTTTATACTCTAAGCTTTTAAAGTTTCGAAATCATGTCTAACTTCGCACATTAACTCAATCTACTGTGCGGCGCTCTTTTCCTGACTGCACATAAATTTTCTTGCTCGTAGATTAATTCGCGTGATCAGGGAAAAGTTGCCCGCTCTGGTTTTCCCCAAAGATCAACGCTGTCAGATTCTAGGTGATTTTTTCTGAATTTTCTCGAAAGCTATAGCTGCTCACCAAACTTCTATTGTATTCATTTCCTTTTTTTTTTTTTTTTTTAAACAAACTGTCCAGCTTTCCTAAATAAAAATGGGCCAACCCATGTTTCAAGCTCTTATGACACTCTCTGTAATACTAGTAATTAATACTCATCAAATGTATTTCATAATCTAGGTTTCCCCTGCTCCCGTTAATTTAAAATGTACCTTTCTTTCCACTTTTTTTATACCTAGAAACGTTCTATTCCAAAAATTAATATAATTTTAATGCCATGATTTATCAAAGTCTAAATGTTAAAATCTATTTTCTGCTGCCTTTATAGTCAATAATTGATTTCTAACCATTATAGTTTCTCTATTACTTTTTTTTGTTTCACTGTTGATACTTCAATTTATTTACTTTTTCATGTTTTTCAGTATTTCTGAATCCACTTTCTTCTTCGGTTGAATGGGTGCTGACTGCTCAATGGCATTTCCACAAGGCCATTTCCAATGCGCTGAACAATGCTCATGGTCATGGCAATCACAAACTGATGCGATCAAAATTAATGTTAGTTTCCTCTGGTATTTCCTGTTCATCAAGTCGTTGAAATTTTTTAAAACTCATCAATGAAGTGATGAAACGCTAAGTAGATTCATTTGAATACAATTTAAAAATGAAGTTTGCTCAATTCGCGCCTCCCGTTCTTACCCCGTTTTTTTTTTTTTTTTTTTTTTTTTTTTTTTTAAGATTTTATTGATACATTACAATTTATTGTCGCCACTACCTTATACAATCTACAGGTATCTATCGACTTGTATTAATAATAAAAGATTAAAGATATAACTTAAAGTGAACGTATGATAAGTAAAGTAAACTTATCATAAAGGTCCGGAGCATGTAATGCTCCGGCCAGTTCTTACCCCGTATTGATCAAAATAAAAAGTCAATGTACTTTCCTCATGAATTGAAAATGTATTAAATTTGAAACATTTGCCTCACAAATTATGACAAAAATCATCAAACTACCAACATTGAAAGTTTAAATATGATGGAGTGGAAAGTTTGGGCGCAAATTTTACTGTGATAATACGATGAAAGTGCGAGCAAGTATGTGTGGATTTATTAGTAGAACTCGTGGCAACTTTTGTTTTTTTACGTGAAAACACACGCACACAAAATTTTGACATTTCAAGACATTTTGATTTATCAGGTTTAAAACTCTACGTGAATATAAACCGACTCTCTCGGTTTCTCTGCATGTGCTGAATTTATTTTCGCATAAGAAATAATTGGAAATTCTACGCTGACTGTGGTGCGTATTTTTTAACTTTCCCACCCTCCCGTTTCACGTAACGAACCCATTATACACGTCTGCAGTTCTGCACCCCCTAGTAAAACGTAACGCTCTGTTCGCCTCTCTATACTCAAATTGATATTCGGTGATAAATTGTAAATGAAAAATTGCTATCGTCCGTGGATTTTACAACCTTAAATTTTCAAAAAAATCCGCGCGTGTTACTCCGCACGACTGATCAGACTCTCTCCTCTTCTCCTGGAGCGTAACTCATTTTATGAATGGCCTTCTTCAATCACTTGATGTACCCAAGGCTTGTTCTTGAAAAAAAAAAAAAAAAAAAAAAAAAAAAAAAACATTTCAACTACATTAAGCGCGCAGTTAAAAATGCAACTTTTCGAGCGCTCAGCAAATGTTTTTTGCCTATAGGACAAGTTGAAGGCGCTTGGAGGACAGCTGATTTTTTACAACTTCCAGGACAAGTCGCAAGATATCCATTATCTGCTTCGTTCCGTGCTTTTTTGAATTCATTTTTACTTTTTTCCTTTCATCCTTTTATCACGTCCATTCATCATTTTCTTGGCCCGCTTAATTTTCCGAGGGACCTTCGCCTATTTTAGATGAGCCCTACATAGAATTGAATGCATATTTTGGCAAAGAATATGCACTAAATTTATAAAAGATAGAGACATTTCTGAAATGTAATGCAATTGATCAGACGTGCTTCATAAATTAAAACTTAAAATGAATCGAAAATGATGAATTGAAGTCAGTTTGTACATTATTGAAATAAATTTCAAAGGGATTGAATTTCGCTTTGATCAATGAAGTTCTGATATTCTAAATCTAAGTTCTCGATTTTAGGAGCAGAACTTCGGTTGGCTGAACCATATTCTGATTTCTGTGACCGAAAAATTTGGTTAGAAAATACCAGCAAACTTAGGTTTTTAGTACGAAATGACCTTTATATCTCATACATTTACACGGCATGCAAACCGAGTTTCCTTTCATTCTAACTAAGCCGATTTTCTCTTCAAAATTAAAAAAAAAAAAAAAAATTGTGACGTTTTTACGCTTTTCTATTCTTTCACGATGCAATTTTACCGTGTAGCTCGACAGTTAGATTCTTCCGGGTCATTGTAGTGTTAAAATGCAGTGCCAATTGGACGTATTTCTATCAAACGAAACTATGTACATTCAGACATGAGCCCTGAGACCCATAAGAATTTATGCATAACAGGGCTCACGTCGTAATGCACATAGTTCCGTTCGGCCGAAATGCATCCAATTATTCCAAGCTCTCGGCAAAGTGACTGCATAGAGTCCGACACGAGATTGGCTTAATTTCACAGTGGCGTGACTGGAAACCAGGAATTCGGGGTGTAAAAGCTACTCGCTGAGGGTGGCCACGGGGCAAGGCTGTTAATGATGCAGTGTTTGGTCGAGGGTGGCCGGTGAGATGGGTAGTGGGATTTCGGGGGTAGAGGGAGGGGGATGAATTCGGAAGCGTTTTCCCTCCAGACTCCGGTCCAGTCGGCAATCTGTCTACCCCTTGTCCTAATAAACTCTGTCATTCTACATCCGAAAATTAGTCGTTGAATGTTACATAACCTTTTGATTGACGTATTTTTCTCTCCCTTCATTTCAACGCGTCTTGAATGGTCTATTTAGCCCGATTGGAAATAGACGATTTAGTTGTTGCGTCATTTGGACCGAGTCTATCAGAAAGTAACCAACTCACATTTTCGAAAAAATTGAGTTAAGTTCGAGGTCCACTGGCCGTATATTTTCTCCTGCCAAAAACTGAAAGTTGAAAAACAGAAATTGGTTTGTAAATAATGGGGTTCAAGTCTATTTTCTACATTGAGCCTTATGCAGGAATACAATTTCAAAACTCTTTTTCTCAGTTTCGACTGAGTGTGGGTTGGTTCCTTTCTGATGAACTTGGGCCATTTGGATTGCATTTTGCAAAAAGGAACCACTAGCATTACAATGATGCTAAGATTGTGCAACTTCGTCCTTTACAATAAAATTACGGAAATCATGAAAAACTATGAAATTTAGATGGTCATTTTGGTCTTAAATGTACAGTTTTAAGGGAGTAAAATAGAAACTATTAATGGATAATTGGGTTTTTCCTCCAAGACAAAAGAAGCTGCACAATCTTAGCAACATTGCAATGCTAGTGGTTCTTTTTTGCAAAATGCAATCCATTTGATCTATTGCGTTGAATTTGTTGCCTTTAAAAAACTCGGCAAAACAATCGATATCGAGACGGTCATACTGGGTGTACTGGTGTACTGGGTGGAACCATCGAATATCGAATGACGCAGTAATTAAATCGTCTGTGCGAAAGCGTTTCCTGTATTACGCACTAATGTATCTTTGAGCAAAAGAGATCTATCTGCGGGGTCCATAGCAAAGAACCCTCTTTTGCCTGAATGCGGCTTAATCACGCTCACAAAAAGAGGATTGGTTAATTAATTTTTCTGATATTTTGTCCCAGTTAAATTAATATTCAATCTATCCTTGAAGATCTCCTCTGCTTGCTGCATGTTTTAGTTATACTAAAGAGAATGATTGGTATAATAACTTTTTTTATTTATGCACCTTCCATATTTATAATCCACGCATGTGAAAGCACAAGTGTAACGCGTGTTGTGTGGTTCAACTGTTTTTATATATCACATTGTTGTCGCTTGTGAGAAAGAAAACGCTTATTAAAACGGATGCTTACGAATTGTCCTGCCCTCCTTTTTTCTACCATCAGAAGATAAAAACTCTTAAAAAATTTATCATGCGATAAAGTTTTTTTTTTCATTTTTTTAAATTTTTTTTTTTAGCATAAGATGAGTTTGATGCCCATTGGGCGATGTGTAACCTATAAGTAAACTTACCATCAATATTCTTTAATTACACAAAATGAACTTGAAGTAAAATCATGGGGTTTTCTCCAAGTGAATATTATTATCCGTCTAAGTTTTTTTTTTTATTTTTGATATTAATTACGCGCACCAAGAACTGGCACAAGAAGTATTTTTCTTTTTTCTAGTGTATGTAGAATTTGATAATTTAGAATGTGAAGTGGAAACTGAACAAATTTAGTGACGTAATCTTGAAGCCTGCATGTAGATATTTATAGACAAGAGTTTTTTACTTAAAATATTTTTCTTTTTCCGGCGATAAGTAGACAACAGTGTGCAGTTCAACCCTTTCTGTTCCCTCCAGATCAACGTGCGATGGACTGTCCCTGTTAGCTAATTCTAGATGGTTATCTTCCCCTGCTCAGCATCCTGATGAGGGGGCAGAACTGCGTAGAGTGTCATATCAACAGCCCCCTACCTACCCTGCCATGCAGTCCCTTCTAATTACATTGTGCTCAAATTTGTCCCGGAAAGGCGACGCGATGCGGAAACAAAAATGATGGAAATGTTTTAGGGCCAGAAAATAAAATTGTGCTGAAGGGGGTGAGAGTTAAAAAGTAACAAAAATTCACATGCTGGATGACAGAAAAACGTGATCTTTATTCAGTAAACCAAAGTAAATATGGAAAAAAAAATATTCTAAAATTATAAAAATTAAACTTGGAAAACATAATGATGATAAAATTGTAAATTAAAAGACTAAAAAGTAAAGAAATATGAACATTTCAAACTCCTATACTAAAACGAGCTCCAACATTTTAAGATGGTGGTATGGAAATCTACCTCTACTTGCTCCTACATTGTTGGATCGTTATCAAATCGTCGTCAGAAGATCTCGATCGAGAAATTGAATGCTACGGTAGGGATTCATCGATTAAAGTCAATGATAACGATGAACATCATTCGATTTCGTCATTCGATGATAAATCAACAATTCATTGACCCAGCTGATCACGAACCTCTGACGCTAGATGATATCGGATACCACTATTCAACCTCCTAGGATCGTGTTTTGCCTATCTCCGAAAATGAAGGCGAATCGTGTGATTTGCCAATTAATATATTTTGCAAGGTTCATTACGAGCGTATCTTTGAAGTTTATTGAAGCATGCCATTTTTTCAACGAATAGACGCAACGGAGCGATTATGGTGCACAAGCTTTCAATTGAAACTTGAGACATTTTAATCCCGGTGGACCAAGGAAAGTACAATTAGTCTTAAAATGGAAGCATCGGTTAAGAAGATGAAACATTAAAATCGGTTTCAATTTACAATGGGCTGAAATAATTTTAAAACAAATCCGATACAGCTGCAGCAAAATATGTTCATGAACTGATCCGCTTGCATAAACTCATATTTAATGATCATTAAGGTTATTGCAGCGGTGCCAGTGGCGCGGAGTGCTTTCCGATACATCGATTGATTTGCCATTGAAGCTATGAGAAAGGATCGATAAACAGGGTCTTCGCAACGAACGACTTAATAATCGATTCTTATCATAGCTTCAAATGCAGAAATATCGATAGTTGATCATTTAGGTCTCGCCACTGAGCGGCACATTCAACTTCGTGAGATATTGATGAACAACCGTCGACGATGTTTGTTGATAATTAATTTTTTGGATTTCCACAATTAACGATTTCCTGGAAAAACTTTGCTATGGTGCATTTATATATTGAAGTTTGTGCGTCCAGCTATGAGGAAATGGCTAACCCAGTTGTCGAATTGCTCTCTCCGGTCTAATAGCGCCTTCTGAATTCTGGGTCCGGGCCCATTTTCAGCCTCGAACGCTTTGATCAAAGTGCAAGATGTCTCGAACTGCGCTGCTGTCAAAATCGGCTTCAGCGCCTCTCTGTAACGGACCATCGTGTGCTGCAATGTTGGTACAGGCAATTTGGGTAGTTCCACCTGAGAACAAAAAGATTATTACAAATAAATTCAGGCAATTGAATCAATAATATGACTGATTAACGTTAAGTAATCAATAACAACACCGAATAAAATGATGAAGTAATAGCGTTCAGCCAAAATTCATCATTTCGTCACCTTCCGGCGAAAGTATATCAAGCAACATTTACATTTAGACACTATGTTGCCGGGCACCTCATTATTGTCTTAATATGTTCTTTAAAACTTTAAAATTTCATGAAAATCTCAGGGATTGACAGGGATCTCTCGATGACATTAGAAATCACAGTAAAATTTTCAAACGATTTCGTTCGTAAGTTTTCTCGTATCAAATTGAACAAATTTGGAATTAGCAGCATAGCACCTCGGCACGAATAGCTTCAGTAACACCTTGGTCGAAAGGGATGATTTTTAAGACGAAAGAGCGTAGTCTCACTCAAAGGTTACACTATTGACTAAAACGTTCCATTTTTTATAGGAATGACTTTACAATCCGTGTTCAAAATTTTGCTGATTTTCGCGTAACACTAGAGCGAAAATTGGTGACATTTTCCAAAAAAAAAAAAAAAAAAAAAAAAAAAAAAAAAAAAAAATGTCTATCAGTTTTCTATTTAAGATACGCGAGTTGCGAGTGAACATTTCTCAACATCGGAACGTAGTTTCATACTTCCATCTGGAAGACGATGAATCATTTGCGGTGTGCTTCAGAACGGCTGAAAAAGCAACATCATAAAAACCAAGAAGGTAATCTTTTCACACTCTCGTGTGTTTAAAATTCGAACCTTTTTCAACCGTCCCTCTGGATGATTCAGCGAGGAACATTCCACAAAATGCTACATTTCGATGCAAATGTTCGGGAGCAGCCCACTGCAATTAGGTAATTAATAATGCGTCGGGGTCATTACACGCCCGGATGGATGCAAATAAACCAGGCAAGAAAAACAACATGATTAGAAGACTCATTAAAGATGGTGTCGTTGATAACGATGCAACGTGTGCACAGAGAATAAGAAAAGCGACAGGGGTGAGGGGTGAGGGTTATCCCGCGTGCGCCCCTGTTGCCAAATTTAAATTTTATTACATCAATAAAAAAGGTACAGATTTCTGAATATTTCAGATTTGTGTGGCAATGATTTTGGGAGCACTTGCAAGGTAGATAACCGAGAAAAGCAACTAGACATAGTGCACTAAATGTTAAATGCATTTTAGATGTCTAAAGTGTGCGATGGAACCTAAAATGCTCCTAACACACCTTCACACTGAGTATCCATAAAGATACAGTAGGGCCGCATTTATGTCTTTTTAATACAAAGAAGTTGTGCCGCTTTTGGATTGGTCTACGAGCTTATGGCTATCATGAAACTCTTACGGCTGAAACTTTACAATTAATATTGTTTCGAGGGCAAAAACACCGTCATCAGCGTAACAACATTTGTTGATATGGACTTCATTTTGCAATTCGGAGCTACAATTTCTTGCTTATCCGTAAAAAATCTTATGTATATAGATAAACTCATGGTTCCTACGTTGTTTCTAAACTGAGCCAGAAATTGTATCTCCGAATTGCAAAATGTGCTCTATATCTTCAGGGGTTGATTTCAAAACTCCTCATTGTGTAAATCGTTTTCCACGTAAGATTTTGAAGAGGAAACATTAGATGTTTTATTCACTGGGAAAAAACTCTGGCCGTGAAACCCGCACTTTCGGACTATGTAGACATACCGTCCTTGTTCTGGAACTCGGAACAAACGGTATGTCTATACAGCCCGTAGCTTTTTTTAGTATTCTACTTCTAGAATCGCGTTCCGCTTCTTACCGTGTCTGTTGGTGTGTTCATTCGAACGTGACTCTATTTATTTTATATGTTTTCATTTTTCTTCGCACGGAACGCCCAAAAAGACAGCAGCAAAACATTCTACCTCCGTGTATGGAATTTGCCTGGTCTTAATGTTGAAGGCGGCAACAGGGGCGAAGGAAACGCAACGGTAATTGGCGGCACGCGACTGTTTCGGCATGGTTTGCGTAACGCCACCACCACACCGCCAACACGAGTTAACCCGGCCCACTCCCGGGTAAATACGCGCCGCGGCTGAAGGGACCGGAGGGATGGGATGGAGGGACAGAGGATTCGCCCTGCCGATCCGGAGCCCCGATTGGAAAGGGTTCTCCAATATTCACGCTTCAAGTTAAGCAATAATTGTATTAGGGCCCCTTTCGCTACGGCAGGGACTCGAGTCAATGTTTGCTCGCCAAGACCAGCAGGGCCTGAAGACTCCCGCACGTCCCTTCGGATCCCTGACCTCACCCTCCTGTCACCGAGCTGACGTCCGCCTCAAGCGTCGTCGATATCGTTCGTTAAATCAGCAGAATCGTGAAAAAATCCCAACACGGTTTCGTATGCGGAACACAAGTGCTTTGGGTATGTGGCCGACTCACGATGGGAATACAGATCTAGCTATCACGGGATGGAAACACCCTAGAAAGTAGGAATTCTTTAGGGTTGTTAAGCGAAATCCTCATGAATCAAGGAACTCCGAAAGATAACAAGAGGAGATTTTACGAATCTGTATTTTAACGTAGGGATGTGCAGTTTAGAAGCTGAAAAAAACGGACACAGGATATGTTAAGGGCAATGAAGATGGATTTCTGGAAGAGGCCAGCAGAGATTTCTGAAAGGGAGAAGGGATCGTGTCCATCTGGTGTTAGAGAGCGTTAGACCATGGAAATCGGAAATGACTACATACTATGCGACATCCAGCTAGTCTGATGTGGTCACTTGTCAAAATGGTAAAAAAAAAAGAAAAAAAAAGAAAATGAACAATTTTCTTTTGTAAAGTGCCCCTGTCAGAATTCCACCTTCCTCCTCTTAACCTCATGGGAAAATCATGGTTTCCAAATTTCCACAACAGTTATATGGACCTAAGCTCATGAAAACTGGAAAAGTCCCATTATTTTTGGCGTTAAAATCATGTATGGCTCAATAATATCGATAATTTAATTTAAAACAGGGGTCTCGGGGAGTCTTCGGTCTTTCAGGGTGAAAAACTACCTTAGTGAAAACCACCCCCATTAAAAGTAGCTCATAATGACGCCATTATGTCATCCACTTTTTGATTTATAAAGCAGCGTTACATTAATGTGATGTCTACTGAGCACTTTAATTTCAAACTAGGATTACTGACACCAGACTGACATCATACGGGTTTGTTCTATCAAACAGTGATTAGACGTCAGTTTGATGAAGTCATTGTGCCACCAAGTTTTACCATGGCCAGAAAACAGGAATTGAGTAACAATTCTCAAGACTTTTAGAAGGTAAGCAAATAGATTTTGGAGCATTACAGCGATTATTATGATCGTCTGCAAAATCTCCGCCTATGTTCGAGCTAATTGACCATGTCCATCATTACTCAAACGTAACTGTGCGCCCTATCGAGAAAATCTTCGTGTAGAGAGGGGTCCCACCGCGAAAAGCGAGAGCCCTCCCGGCACCAAAAACACGAATCCTCGCGTAATTTATTCGAGGCTCTCGATGGACAGACCAGATAAGACCACACCTCCCTTCCGGGATCTCACGCGACGCCCAGGAAGAAGGCAACCCGCGCCACTCAAGACGGGGCTGCCGCTTCGCGCTCCCGCCGCGAGAGGGCGCGCCGCCGCTCGAAGGTGACCTCGTTTCCCGCGCCGCGACCTTTCAACTCGCGGGTAGGGCACCAGTATTGATTTTCACCTGGGTTCTTCAGCCGCCTCGCCCGCGCCCGCCACGCCGAGCAGCGCTGCTAACTTCCTGGATTCCCTCGTTTTTCCACGTTATCCGTGGAACACGAACCGTGCGACTATGCAACGTTGCTCTAGAGGAGTTATTTTGAGCCTTGCCACTGTTGTCTTTTACTGGCCTTTGCCAACGTTCTTTTCTCGTGTCTATCGTATTTGATCCAGGCCTCTGCCCTTGCTCCTCGATCGCCTACTCCATTTTTGAGTCTCTTCCCTTGCATGAATCCGTGCCACCATCCTCAAGGGTCGCATAGTGGATCGAGTCAATCAGAGAAGTCGGACATGAAATTTTCGACCAAAGCAGCAAATTTTGATGTTTAATTCGTCACATTTTAAATTTCAAGGGGGTGCTTTTAGAAGGAAATTTCAGGAGGAAACCAATAGCACCACTTTCAGAACCTGTAAGTTTTGTATAAACGGAGTTATGAGCGTTTACATTTTCCGATTTTTGTATGACCTCTCCTATCGATTCGATCCACTGTGAGCCGATATGAATGTATTGATTGGGTTTAGATAATAATGCATGTACAATATTTCATGTCAGAACGGTTTTATGCATACTCTGACTGGTCGTATCACTGGGAGGCTCTCCGGTTATATTGAAGGACATTTTAAGGGATTCCTCCCCATCGCCTTTAACCTTTATACTGGTCTTAGCGAGTGAGACACAATGGGAGTGAAGTATTAAACCGCTATAGCTATAAGCAAACTGAGTGAACGTGGTCGAAATGTTGCGAGCAACTATCAGTGCTCCTAAGCAGCTCTCGTTGCCTATCAAGATATTGAAGGCGAACCGGTCGGAATAAGTTAAAACAATGCGAGTGAAGTATTACTGGTTTGCGCGCTCTTTGCTTCATAGCAATAGACGAGATTTTAATTTTCCTCCAGGTGGTTTAACTGCTAAATATCAGGATTTCAAATGTTATGATCATTTGATTTTAATGCTAGTATTATTACAATTATGTTTGGAAATGTTTCATAATAATCCGAGGGTTTCTTGTAAGTAACACAGAATCATCTTTGGCATTATCTACCAATATTTAATTATCAGATTGAGGATTCTGCTGCGAAATTAATAGTTCATACGAGCCGAGCAGTTAATAGTTTATGCAGAAGCTTTCTTTCCGTTTTTTGGTTGCCAGAAGTTGATCCGTTGCGTGAGCATACTGGTATATTTTATGTGATCGATTTGATTGATTTTTCAATCAATTAATTACTGTAGTTCA